TAGAGTCGTCAATTGATTAATAGCATATTTGAAATGGAGTGGTTTGAATTAAACAAACAAACTAAACAATCTTTATTAATGATTATGAGACGAAGTTCAAGACCAATCGAACTTACTAGTGCTTATGTTATCTCGATGAATCTTGATTCATTTGTGGGTGTTGGTATTAAAATTTATTCTTACACGTAACTAATAATTTAATTATAAGTAAAATATTTAATATTAGATCTATCTCCATTAAAATTCTTTAAAGAATTATTATTCAATTAAAACTAGAATTAAATATTATTCTTATCAAAAGCATGCAATTTCAATGTACTAAATATATTTTTCCTATTTATGTAAAAAAAAAAAATAATAATAATAATAAGGTACAAATTTGAAAATAATAAATTAGAAGAATTTTTCAATAATTTTAGTATAATTAATATTGTTGGCTATATGTATATTTAGTTTTTTAAAATATCATAATTAATAATCTTAATTGCAGTTACTCAAGACATCATATTCAGCTTACAATGTATTGAAACAAATGTAAGAGCGGCAAAAACAAAATAAAAGAAGAATTTTACTTTATTTTTTTCAATACAAATTATTATTAAGGTGATTATAATAATATGGATTTGCATTACTAATATGTATGCAGAGAAACATTAAACAGTTATATCAGATGATTTTATTCGGCAATGATAACATAATTTTTTTATAATGTTATTTGAATAGAGAGATATTTAAGGAGAAAAACTTACAATTAGAATTTACGTTAATTATAGAATCTTAGAATGTTTACTAATGATGATTATACAATATTATTTTTACTTGTGCACTAATCGAAATATATATATATATTCTTATGAATTTGAGTAATATTTTACTATGTATATATACACATGCACACGTCATAGACTATACATAAACTATCAAAAATCAGAAAGCAGCAGAATCAATACAAGGAAGAAAAATTTATCATTCACAATATGGCAAATTTATGCCTTCATGAATTAAATAGTTTTTGGTTGAAGTATACGAGAGAGTTATTGACGTTAATATTTTATGAAGAGTAAGTACGGAGAGCTGGACTCGACATCCGAGGGTTATTATTTTTTATTCCTCTGTTCTGTTTTCTAATATGCAATATCACAAAACATAATTCACGTGAAGTATTATTATGTAATAATATTTTAATATTATCAAGTCTGTGTTTAGTTGAGAGTATGAAAATAGTATTATGTGAAGAACACAATTGCAATTTGAATAATAAAAGTTATCAAAAAGAATAGTTGGGTAAGCTGTATTATTGCACGAAGATCGTGAAGTTATAGACAACATTTAATAACCAATCAGTTTACTGTAAGATTTTATTGCATATCACATTATATCGTAAGATAATTTTTCTCATAATATGAATTTTCTTATAATATTATTTATTACCAAATAATATAAGAAAATTGTCGTTTATGATGTAATTATCATTATTTAATTATCAATTTACGCATATTATTATACATATGTATAGATTTGTAATCAATTGATTGATAATGTCATGTTATGAAATGTTTGAAATCTGATTAATTGAAATAAAGAATTATTCAATATCTAAATTTTTCAAAATTTCAACAAAATTTTAACTGTGTATTTTGTGTATATGTGTACAAAAATATAAAGTAAATAATTTATTATAATTATTTTATTATAATTTATTATAATTATTTTTGAAGGCGAGATTAATAAATAACATCAAAGAAAATAACAGAAGATATTAAAGATGTTCATACTGACCTTTACGTTCAAAATATTGATGATTTGCGGTTGTGGACGACTGGATTCTTGGCCGACTCCATACAAACGGTTAGTTTATCATGTGTATACTATTTTCGTAATGTTACTAATACACACTTTTATGCTATCGCAATTGATGGATCTTATTATAATCGTGGATAATTCCAACGATTTCACCGATAATTTCTACGTGCTACTCGCTATGATCGTTTCTTGCTGTAAGATGCTCGCTCTGTTGATGAATCGTAGCAACATTGAGATGTTAATCAAAACTCTTATGAGAAAACCGTTTCGACCGGTTGAACCCGACGAGATGAAGATTCGACAGAAATTCGAAAAACTCATACAGTAAGCATCGCGAGCTAGCATCAACTATCAATGCTCTCTTCTAATACATAATTAAGATATAATTAAAATAAATTGGTTGAATGCTTTCTTATATAATAATTAAGATTGTTTTTATTTAAATGAATAAATAAATCAGACGTAACGCTTTAACTTAAAGAAAAAAAATGTAACTGAAAATATTGAATAAAAAATGAAATGCGAAAACGTCTATAGTCGTTTTACAGATCAAATACACTTTACTATACTATCTTGGTCGAGACAACGTGTTTGTCTGTTGCCGTGACATCGTTATTAACTGAATTCAAGAAAGGAAATTTGACGTTCCGAGCGTGGCTGCCATTTGACTATTCCTCGTCACAACTTTTTCCATTTGTATACGCTCATCAATTGATAAGTTTTACAATGGGATCTGTACATCATGTGGCTTGCGATAGTCTCATATGCGGATTCCTGGTGCACATTTGCTGTCAGATAGAGATATTGGAACATCGTCTGAGGAAAAGCGCACGTGATCCTAATATTCTCCGCGAGTGTGTTCTTCAGCACAACAACATATTCAAGTTTGTTTTCAATTATGCTAAAAATAGATATATTTTTATTATTAAGATGTACGATGTAGCACAGACTTTTTACTACGTTTCCAATTTATTTTTCTATAAAATCATTCCCTTCTCGAATCATTATATCATGATTTTTGGAAAAAAAACCTATATAGATTTTATTAATTTAAAAATTGCAATATTACTTTTTATTAATTTTAGGTTTGCTCGTATAGTAAACGAAAAATTCAGGATAACTATATTTATCCAGTTTGTTGTAAGTACATTGGTGATGTGTTTTAATCTATACCAATTTACCAAGTCAACAGCATTAAGAACAAAATATATGCAGTTAATAATGTATACGTGCTCTATGCTGTCACAAATCTTTTTCTATTGTTGGTACGGAAACGAAGTTAAATTGAGAGTATGTGAACTTTTAAAATAAGTATTTTTTTTATTTTAATATTTAATATATAGATAAAATAAATATACGGGTCTTTTCTCTTTTTCTTGATTGTTAATATATAGAGTCGACAGTTGATAAATAACATATTCGAGATGGAATGGTTTAAATTTAATGAAACTGCTCAGAAAACTTTACTAATGGTCATGAGACGTGCTGTAGTACCAATTGAATTTACTAGTGCCTGTGTTATTTCTATGAATCTGGATTCATTTGTGGGTGTTAGTATTGTAATGTGCCATTATATATAATTAAGTATAAATCATTAAATTAAATAAAATTTTAATATTAAAAGTGTTTTTTGTTTTTTAATAAAAAATAAT